AAATTAAAAAAGTCTTCTGCATATTCTATTGCAGCGCATGTAATGATGCAATTTTATACATTACATTATTGAAATAGAATAGGATAGAATACGAAAAAAGCTAATATTTCTTGATATATTTTACAAAAAGATTACCAATATTCTTGTAATGATTTCTCACCTTTTATTTCATAATTCAATACGACGTCATTAAGAGACCTATTTTTAAACAATAAGCTATCTTTAAACAATAAGCTATCTTTAAAGAATAGAAAATATATATTAAACAAAAATGTTGTTCGTCTTCTTTTCTTAAAATAATACAGATATTAAAATAATTTTGCCCTATTTTTATATTTAGTTAGTTGTTATTATTTAATTATTTATATAACGTCCCATACAGCACACAAGTTTGCAGCAATATTGCAACAACATTGCAATATTGTACATTCCATAGCAATATTGCAGAATTATTATATAGGCATAAATTTGCAATATTGTTTTAACAATGTTGCAGTAATATTTCAGAAATATTATAAAAATAAAATTCACGCAAAAATATTAGGTACAAAACATTCAGTCCGATCATGTATTTGGCACATTTCCAATAATCCAATAGTAATATTACATATATATTTTATTGCATTATTGCTGCAAATATATATTTCTGAAAACGGACATTTTATCGTTGCTGCAACCTTGCAGCAAAATTGCTGCAATATTTCACAATGTTTATGCAATGCTGTAATATTGCAGTAAAATGTTGCCACAATGCTGCTGCAATCTTGTTGTATGGAGTCACTATAATTTTAGAGTAGAATTATTCAATCAATTTTCACTCCATCGATATCAAAGGTGGAAGATATGCAATCGATACGTTGCTTCAAGAATTGTGCCTTAATTTTATTGATTGTTTTGTCTGTAACCTTTGGTGATAGAAGAATGTATACGTATCCCCCTGTAAAACCTGTAAGCTTTCCTTTTAATCCAAATTTATTTGCAATTGAGCAAACTTCATTGAATTTTGGAAGCGACAAATCATTATCCTTTAATAATTGCTGATTCCACATAATGTCTGTCTGCAAAATACGAAAAATGTTAGTTTTAAAACGGTACAGTTTCTAGCAGGTAATTTTGTACAAATAGAGTACGAATTTTATCAATGCAGCAAAGCTAAAGAATATGCGTAATAAAAATATTATTATTCTTAAATAAAAACGAAAAAATACCTCTAACTGACGATAAAAATCCTGAATTAATCGGCGATCTATAAAATTATTACAAATACAATGAAGCTTATCCCATATTTGTGTTGCTATTGTGTCTAATCTATCTAATAAACAATTGAAATAGATCGGATTTCTACGTCGCAGATCAATCATTTGTTGTGCTTGTTGTTCTTTATTTTGGGGAATATTTGTATTAATCAATAAAATCCTTAGTCCTGATACGAAATCGATAGTCTCCGTAAAATAAGTTTTATAACTCGTACGTCGACATTTTTTATTCCGCCGCGTACGCAAAGTTTGGCATCGATCAATGTGAACGTATTGTCTTGCATAATTTCTTCGCAGGATTTGGTGTAACGTTCAATTACTTCTAATTCCCGATTATTAAATGCAATATGATAACCTTTCTGTCGACGCTCCCAATGAAGAAAACACGCTGCCAAACATACAGCGAACGATGTCGAACTTCCAAGACCAGATCCAAAAGGAATTTCAGTGGTTACGCACACGTGAAAAGGTCTTCTCTCGAGATTGTTGGTCATCAAACAAAGCAGGTAGAAAAATATTTGTAAGCTAAATCGCTGCTCGCATGTCTTCCACATACGAGCCCAGTCTATAAAGAATTTCACGAATTTAAGAAACTCGACTGGATTTGACTGAATATTCGAAACATTTCTATGAAAAATAATGTTCAACTGTTACTAAAGATATATCGCATTGTAGATTGACACGAGGGAATTCTAGCTTAATAATTCTTTCTGCCACAGGTAGTTCACAGAATTCGAGATTGGTACGATGATCTAAACCGCCATAACAAAATATCTTCCATACGTCGCCGAATGCTCTCCGGATAAGACGATTCTGCCCGGTGCGGAAATTTTAAAATTTATCATCCTTTTATCAATAAAATATCCTTTCTTCTTAGAACTGAAGTAGCGTTCAATAATACAGAATTGATAATTAAATTTGCGTATCTCTTACAAACACTGTTATTAGAATCAATATATGAAAAATATATTCTTGTAAAGTAAGGGAACATTTAAAGATTATATTTATCGTTTCTTCTCGTCCTGTAAATGTTAAAAATGCGTAATGTGTCATTTATATATTATATGTGACAAAAATATCTCGTCTCATACGTTATCAAATGGATAAATGTATACAAAATAAGTATTTAAATTCATATACTTACATATTGTCTTTAGTTTTTGTTATATGAGTTTATTTTCAATTATAAGTTAACTTGTCTCAACTGTTTCTTTTAAAGCACCACATATATGACTCTATACACTTTAACTCTATTAAATCTTTGTAACGTAGACACAATAAAGGAAGGCCTAATAATAAGAATTTGAAACGTTCGTCGCACACAAACAGTTTTATATGTCCTGTACACTTTTGTGTTTTACTTACTGACTGATTTCGTCTTGGAATACATATATATCATCTCGAAGTCTTGATTGAAATATAAAATACAATGTCAAATTTTTTCAGTATTCATAAGAAGAAAAACTTATGTGTGCGTGCTTAAACATAATTCAATTTAATAATAATATATTATTTTTAATATCATAAATCAGTTCTCTTATTGTCGTTTTAAATCATATGTTTAATTTCGCAATTTTATTTATATATAAAATATATGTATAAATGGTGTCATTAAAGTATAATACATATAAAGTATATATACATACATATATATATATATATATATATATAATTATTATATTATTTATTATATAAAATTGTTACATTAGAGAAATAATATGTCTTTTGTATGCATATATAAAACATATCTGGAAGAAGTTAGATGATTTATGGAAAAGAGGCACACATAAGCCTATGTGCCTTTCTTCATCTATGGTCTCAATTGCATTATATTTCAATCATAAAGCATCCTATATTAATTAATTTACAAATTGAAAAAGTATTTTGTATATATATATATTGATTGCAGCGCAACATCGCTCATATTCTTAAAGTAGGATAGAATATAAAAAAATATTAATATTTTTTGATATATTTTACAAAAAAATTCAATAATTTTATTCATTTTTGATTTCATAGTTTGACGTAATTATGAGACCGTAAAATCTTTAAGCAACAAAATATATATAATGGTTTATTATGCAGAATGATTCATTCTATTCTTAATTAACAGAATATATATTGAAATCACAGAAAAAAATTATATGTAGAGTTGCTAGTTGCAAATTATTATTTTTTAAAAACAATTATACATTTTCTTCACATCAATTGATTCCTCTTATTATTTTATGTATAAAAGTATGTTGTAGAGTCGTCGAAAAGTTAGTATTTTATAAAATATTTTATATAATATTGTATTATGTAAAATTATGTCAAATTCAAATATAAAATATCTCGAAAATTTCAATATCGAATATTACGAGAAATCGATTTGTATAAAAAGTTAAAGTCGTTTAAAAAAAAAGTTGAACTCTTAAACGAAAAATCTTACAAACAGTCCGAAGAATTTTAGGTGACCATTTTTTACTCACGATTAGTAAACAATCAATTGATTACTTCCACAGGTATATTTAACTTTTAACATAAAATTTCTTTCATATTGTTTTATGGAAGCCTTTCCTAATAATGTTTTTAACTCATCAAGTAATTCACAGTCATTTAAACTCGTAGTCGAAAGTTTGAGTTGACCGCCACACATATTTTCTACACATTGTCATGATCCGCATAAGATCATATATTGTGCAAAATGTTTGAATTTTACATCTTCTTTATGAATAAATTTATTGCATTGTATAATATCGACGTGTTCTTAGAACAGTAATTGCAAAAAATTTGTTTAGCGTCGCAACTCTTGTAGATATTTGTTAAAGTTCTAGAAATCTATTTATATGTAACACAAATAAGAATACCGAGATAATATTTGTCGATTCGTTTCGTTTCGTATAAACTGATAATGCGTAACGATGCTTATGTGTGATGAACATAATTCATTATGTATATTTTATCAAATTTATATTTTTAAAAATACTTAAATTTAATCAAATCCTAATCCTTTCCTGTTGTTATCAAAATAACCGTATATTACCTGTGTCTCTTCTCTCAAGGCTCCACACAGAAGCCTGGATAATACATATTTTAATTATTAACTCTTATATTATAGAAAAAAAAGAAATATATGTAAATATATAGATAACGATAAATATACAGAAATATATATAATTATTCCAGAACGTAAAAAATAAATTGAATATAAAAATGGAAATTATAAATAGATAATATAGCATTTATCGAAATAATATACAAATTTTGTTATTATTTAAATAGATATTAGCAAAATTTCTTCTTCTGTTAAATATGTCTGTATAACTATATTACAACGATTTAAATTAATTACGACAATTATTATACAATAATATATCATATATACAATAGTTAGTAATTGTCTTAAGAAAAGAAGAAAATATTTATTTCTATTTCTTTTTTATATCTGTTTAATATACCAAAGATTTATCTAATAATAATTAAGAGAAAAAGATAAAATCATTTTGCCTTAGTACTGATGAGTTTGTGATATATATCATATATATGTACCTTATATATGATTTATACAATAAATTGTATCAAAGTATTACATATTTTTATATCTTTAAATTAAATATTACATCTATATATATATTTGTTTTTTGACGGTACACACATACAGTCATGTATTTAAAGTTGCGATAATAAATATTATTCGGAAACAACAAAAAAGTATCGATATATGTTCTAACGACTCCTGATTAAAACATTGAAAACGTCTGATATATTGTTGTTTGTATATAAAGACATGACTTTAAATAACATTTTTATATGTTTTGAAGTGAAATTAGTCTAAATTGAGACAAGGAAGTGTACAGAAAATATAACCACTGTCTGGAGGGCGATAACGAACGTTTCAAATTCATATAATCAGTAGCTTTTCTTTTTTGCTTTGACGTTTTAAAGATTAAATAATTAAGAAGACATATGTGCGGTTCTCGGAGAAAAATAGACATTAATTTATCTGCCAAATAAAAACAAGAATCAAATAAACTGTAAGTATATTAATTTAAGTACTTTGCAAACATATCCTTTGATTATACCTTCCATATTTTTATGTATAACCAATGAGATATTTCTGTCACATATGACTGACACGATACGCATTTCTTACACTTACAGATCGAGAAGAAACGACAAATATAATCTCGAAATTTCTCACCTTATGAAAATATATTTTTCATATATTAATTCCAATCAATATATTGGTGAATCCTACGCAAATCTAATTATCAGCCATTCTCTCTGCCATTCAACGTTGCATTCGTTGTGTCAAGAGAAGATATTTTTATAAAGATAAATAAAAAGATGATTAACTTCAAAATTTCCGCACCAGGCAGAATCATCTTATCAGGAGAGCACACGGTGACGTATGAAAAACATTTTGTTGTGGCCGGCTTAGATCTTCGCACCAAACTAGAATTCTGCGAACTACTTGATGAGCCAAGAAGCATTAGAATAGAGTTTTGTGGTGTACAGCAGGATTTATCTTTAGAAAAAGTTCAATGCTTATTTTCTCAACTTAATGTGCTAAATATGCCTAGATTTGTCAATAACTTTATCAAGGGTATGTGGAAAAAAAATGAAGAGAAATTAAGCTTACAAATGTTCTTTTACTTGCTTTATACCATCGTTTACAATAGCGAGCACGGCATGAAACCTTTTCGTTTACGCGTGTTCACTGAAATACCTTTTGAAAATGGTCTTGGCGGTTCGACATCATTCGTGGTTTGTCTAGCAGCGTGTTTTCTTCATTGGAAGCGTCTACAGAGTGGTGTTCATATTAGATTTAATGAACAAGACTTACAGGAGATTGAAGAATACACTAGATCTTGTGAGAACATTTTGCAAAGGGATGCATTTGCAACGATCGATGCCAAAGTTTGCGTATATGGCCGTATAAATAAATGCAAACATATTTCTTCTGATGTTTATGCTATAAAGCCTATAGTTGTTAAAACAGGAATAAAGATTTTATTGATCGGGACACATCTTCGCCTAACAGAAATAGAAAGAGATATACAAGTAGAACTTTTGTCTTCACGTTCTAGCAATTTCAATATTATTTTGAATGAATTGAACGAAATAGCAATAAGTATATTCGATGACCTAAATTATATTAATAATAACATAGAAGATCTCGATGCTTACAAAAACTTACAAGTATTTTTGTTTTTTTTTCTTTTTATTTAACAACAAAATCATTTGATTTTATGCTATATTTCTTAGTTTTGCGGCGTTCTGAAAGATCCTTTATTACAATGTTTTGCCAGAAACTGTAGGTACAATATTATAATTAACATTTTTCGTTTTACAGAGAGACATTAAGAGAAATCAACAAATGTTAAGCACAGATATGATTTGTCGTATTTTGAATTTGATATTATTACCTGTCTTGGAAGTGGATTCAATTTGGCAGGAAAGCTTACAGGTTTTAAAGGCAGCTATGTATACTTTCTGTTACTACCAATAATTGCAAAAGAAGAAATCACACGTATTACAAATCTTTTCTCATATAGAAAATGCAGTTACAAAATTGCTACAATAGGCTGTGACGGAGTGAGAATTGATAAATGATTCTACTATAAAATTATAACGATTATATATGAATAATTAATTATTGCTAAATTGATAGAATACAAAAATATGCGAAATTATTAACTTAATACTTGTAGAATTTAAAAAAAAATCGTAGTCTCTTATTAATAATGTCGTATTGAATAATGAAATCAAAAATAAGAAAACTTTGAGTTGAATTTTCTTCTAAAATATATCAAAAAATATTAATTTTTTAAATTCTATTTTATTTTGCTTGAAAAATTTAAACGATATTGCGTCGATATCATGCGATGCAATATACATAAATTTTCCTGATTTTACAAGTTAAATAATATAAACATTATAAATTATGGAAGTAATTGACCAAACTAGCAGATAAAATCGTTTATTTAATTTCACGACGTTTTGATCATATGGTTGTGGTCCTTTTCAAGTGAGAAAATAAAATAATAACTAATCAACTCCTCTTATCTCTCCATGCAGTGTCAAATTATAGTAATATTATATAAATCACATAAGTTATCAGAATCTGATGTGCTTTGGTTGGGATATGTTGTGGCAGTCTCTTATTTCCACTTTAAATTTGAATTTAATTTTTATTAGTGACTTATATAATATTACTATAATTTAACACTGCATGGAAAGATAAGAAGAGTTGATTAGTTATTATTTTACTTTCTTCTTTGAAAAGGATCGCAACTATATGATCGAAACGTCGTGAAATTAAATAAACGATTTTATCTGCTGGTTTGATCGATTATCTTCATAATTTATAATAAATACTAGTGACTGTAATTAATAATTTGGAATTTATTAATATAAACATTGCTTCATAATTTTAATTAATAAAATAAATTTTGAATAAAAATAAGTCAAATAATTTTAAATTATATTTTTCGGCAACGCTTAAGAAAGAAAATAATTAAATAAAATTTATTTATTCAAAACTGTGTATTAAATAGATATATGTATATACATATATATATGTATATCTGTTAGCTGCATGTTTAATTTTCGGCTCGAGAATCCTGAAGCAGAAATATTTTACTTCTATTCTTTAATTACATTTGAAACAAATAAATTTTTAGTATATAAAACTGAATTTATGTAAAAGAAAAGATATAAGTAATACTTCTTCTTCAGACGACGTCCATCTATTGTACAAATCCAATTGTAATAATTGTCGTAATTTATTTACATCTTAGTAATGCAGTCCTTTAACGTTACATATTATATGGACAATATCTTATCAATACATAATATGTATTACATATATATAGATGTTTATGTAATATATATAACTGATTAAATGATATTCATTTAGTAATTTTTCTTTGTTAAAAGACCGGGGGTAATATTTCAAAATTTTCAATTTTTTATTATTCAATAATGCAATATAATTCAATGCACGAATTATGAAGTACATTGTTTATTTGTGATTTATTAACATATATTCTGCTTTTGGAAATAAAGGATAATGTATAATTAAATAAATTATACATGCAATTATTTTCAATATATATATATATATATAAAGTAATATTTTTGATATATTTTAAAATTATCAAAAACAAGTATTATATGAAAAGAATAATGTATTTTTATTAACTTGAAAATATAAATGTTTTTTCATATTTTATTTCATCATTCAAAGTAACTTAAAAAAATGTAAACCGTCATAGATATATAAAGTATTTCTCAACTTAACATACGAATTATTAGATTATTATTTAAAAAGTTGAGCACAATTTTCTTTTGCGATAATAATGGTTATATGAAAAGGACTGCATTACTAAGATGTAAATAAATTACGACAATTATTACAATTGGATTTGTACAATAGATAGAGGTCGTCTGAAGAAAAACTATTACTTATATCTTTTCTTTTACATAAATTCAGTTTTATATACTAAAAATTTATTTGTTTAAAATGTAATTAAAGAATAGAAATAAAATATTTCTGCTTCAAAATTCTCGAGCCGAAATTCATGATACATTTAGATAATTATTAAGTCGAAACGAAAAAACTGTTATAATTAAGATTTGTAAAATAACAGGGATTGCGATATATTTGTCTTTAATGCCCAAATTATATAAAATTATGTTATATATTAAATAATATAATTTTATATATTATAAATATTAATTCTTATATGTCTTAATATTATGTACTGACCAAAAGTTTATTTTATTTGAAACATATATATATTTAAATATATTGCAAAATTGAGACCTGTAAATATGATATATGTGTTGTATTAATGCAAATAAAATAATGACAATTAGTCTAATTATTAGCTGAAATTTATACAGGTATCATTTTTTAGTTTCTTATATAAGTACGTATATGTATAACATTAGTCGACAAAAATGATTCTTTCTTTAATTCAGAGATTTCCAAAATGTGTTTTTGTAGATTTTTTTTGCTGAGTACGAATCCGGCTATGAAAATTGCGTATCACGTTATGTTTTTTTAAATATCTTGATCTAAAGATGTGAAAAAGGGCATTTTGGACACTTTTCCGTAAAATATAGCTTTTAATTGAGACGTGATAAAAAGTACTACGACGACTTAAAATAAAATTTATGACTTGTAGTTTATGTAAAAAATGGAAAAAAGATTGAATCTATAAAGAGTTTATTGAAAAAATTAAATTAAAAAATTAAAAATATTATTTTTCGCACTTTCTTCAGTCTTTAAAGGTTCGGTAGAATGTTTCACTTTACCTCTTTATAAATTCGATCTTTTTCATATTTTTTACATAAATTACAAATTAAGCTTATTTTGCTTAAGCTTTATTTTGAGCCATCGTAGCACTTTTTATCACATCTCAATTAAAAGCTATATTTTACGAAAAAATGTTTATAATGCCTTTTTTTGTGTATCCATAGATGTCTAAAAAATGATATCTAAAAAATCTTACGTGATACGCAATTTTCGCGGCCGGATTCGTTAATCAGCATGAAAAAATCTACAAGAGATTAAATTATTTGCCAGTACGGTTGAGAAGAGATTCTGTCTTATTTTTATTCTTAATTCTTTTGGCGGTCGTGACATATTTGATTAGTGTAATTAATTATTACATAATAAGTTTTTAAATGATGAAGTTAAGTTAAATAATGATTAAAGTGCTGACAATACAATCGCTACCTACGTTTAAATCTTTCAAACGTTGTTATTGTTGAGAAATTAAATATAATTGTAACGCAAAATAGATTAACACAAAAAATATAAAATCTCGTGTATAATAACGAAAGTTTTTTAATCCATCGAGATTATGTCGTCTAGGGAAGAGATCCATTTTTTGACTCAACCTTTGGCTTCAGAACACAAACTGACGGAGGAGGAGATGGTTCCTCAGAACCAGAGCTCTGAACCAGGTATGTCCTCTCGCCAACCTTCATTTCATTATGGATTTGTGGCATAGAGCGGATATAACCAACTTCGTTTCCTTATCCGCACTCTTTGCTCCTTCCCGATACCTTTTTTCAGATCTTGAGACTGAAGCTATTCGTTCAATGTCTTCCCTGGATCATCCGCCTTCTATTCCAACACAGGTAGAGTCGGTGACACATATCAACGACACGTTTGACAAGCTTTTCGGTGCCTGCGAGAAATCATCAGCTGTTTCTCCCTGGACTATTCAAGGACTCCTGCTATATTCAACTTCGCTCATTACCTTGCGTTAATTATACTGCAGACGTCTTGTTCTTTATGATTACAAGTAGTAGCGTCAAGCTATGCTCAAATCCACAATGTTCAGAGTATTGAAAAATGTCTCTTATGGACACCGCTTGTTTATCTTCTTCATATTGTTTTTTGTGCTCAACGATTCGCACATCAGAAAAAGTTTATTAAATAAAATATTTATTTAAATATTGATCACAATGAAGAAAGATAGAAAGGATAGGAAAAGAAGGCATTCTCGATCACGTTCAAGAGACCTAAAAGAAGTACTCATGAAACTGAAGATAAACTGCATCCTCACTCAACTGGTTAAGATTAAGAATAATGAGTCTCAAGATGTACCGAATGATAAAATTTCAGATTCTACGGGTAAAAAATTGAATAATTTATTTAATTTGATGAATGTTTATTCCATACAAATATTACCCTCCCTCCAAAATAAATCAATGAATAAATAATATCTTAAAGTGCTTATTTCATACGAATAATGCACTCCTAATAAAGGAATTAAACATTCGTTACTGAACAAATAGTTCTGCAGATTAATTTCACACGAATGCTGCCTGTGACTTTAATTTTAAAGGATATTATTGTCCTAAGTTTTTTATTTGTAATATGGTTTATTAGCTTTCAGAGAGAAAGTATTCTGATATCGAAAATGAATCTGAGGATATACAGGATTTCGCGGATCCTGTTAATGATATTTTTGAAACCAGTGACGCTCAGGTTAGTGTCTCTAAAAATGGGAAAACACAGACCCGACAATGGACTCTGTCATTGATGACGAAATTCTGCAAATATTGAGAGAAGATCCGAATGATGTACCAACAAATTCTGTTAAATTTCATACGGAAATTAAAAACAGATGGAAAGCCTGGATGACAGGAGGTCTACCAGAAGAGACGAGGAAGACATTACTTAAAAATTATCCACGTAATGTTGATTTATACGCAGATCCTCCAAAGATTAATTTAGAGATTGCCGCAGCTTTATCTAAAATTGCCAAGAAAAAGGACCAACATTTTGTTGAAACACAATAATGTGTTGGTTCATCTATTCTCGCCCTTGGAGCAGCAGTATCGATGTTATTCATTGACTCAGAAGAAGAAGTGGATCAGATGAAACCCATTGAATTGTGATGAAATACATTAAATAATAATTTTCCTGCATCACACAGTGATGCTCTAATTTTACCAACTTTCAAGAAATTATTTATGATATTCCGCTTTGTCATTAATAATATTAACACCAACATCTAAAAAAATTAATTAAACATGAATAAAGACGACATGTAAACAAAGATCTAATTATAAATTAAAAAATGAGAGATTCCACATTTCTCTTCTTTCTATATACATATAATGAATAAA